AGGCTGAAAGTGTCCTGGGAGGAGGTTGCCCATCTCGCTTACTTGGAGCAGCTGGGGGTTACAGAGCCACAAGTTGCGTCCCTCAGGGCGGAAGCACCCCACATGCACCTGGGCACAGGCTGCCCCTCAAAGCAGCGTCTACAGTGAAGACGCAGGTAGAGCAAAGCTTTCACCAGTGAATGGCCTTCGTTAGTCGATGTGCAAAATTCAAAATGAGGAGAAACTGCTGTACAACAGCGGGCTCGAGCTTCTGACCACCGCACAGTACCGGGCAAGGTTCAGAGGGTTGTGGTGGACTCCATGGGCAGCTGTTAGAAAACAGTAAGAAAACCATTTCCTCCTGTGCCGTAATTAGCCCGTTACTGCTTATTTTTGCTCTCACCTGACTTCATTTAATGCCCTCAGCAAACCTTTGAGGGAAATCCTGACTTTGCCCCACGTTACCAACAGCCACAAAAGGCCAGACCCGAGGTAACGCAGGAATCTTTTTGGGTTTGGGCGAGAAATAAAACTTGTATTTCTGGATAACAAACTTCATTCTGTCTGGTAAAGAAAACAATCTTCTTGAGATCAGGATGATTCTGAGTTCATGCAATGTTTTCCTGCAATGGAATTTCAAAGAAACAACTCAAAAATGTATTCTTAGCACCGCTGTCCTGTCCTTTTGAACCAACAGAAACTTGAACAGCGCGGAGCTCCCACCCTTTGACATTTTCTCCCCGCGCCTATTGGCTGAACCCTTGGGGTCCCGCCAGGAGAGGGGTCCTCCCCAGCTGTCGCGCTGGGGTGGGGGGGGAGGTGCGGAGGGGGAGGACGGAGCATTGAGTGTCCTTGGGCCGAGAGGGGAGGTGACTCCGGCCGAAGAGGACGCAGAATGAGGGTCCTGCGGGTGAGGGAACCTAAAGCTCAGCTTTAAGCCTAAAGCCCCCCCAACTTGGAAGCCCTGGGTCTCCAAAAGGACTCCTAAACACCTCGAAATCTTGGAACCTTGAAACCTTGGAACAAGAGCTCCCCTTCAGGATCTGGTTTACCCTCATAACTTTCCAAAGGTTCTGAACCTATATATTCCATCCAGCATTCTTTAAGTAACAAGATCAGGACGCCCATTCCCCTCCTCAGCCCCGTTTTATGTCAAGGTTCTCCAGATACAGTCCCGGTGTTGTGAGGACTCTCAATGCGGGAATCTCACTTCCACCCTAACCCCAGGTAACTCCCCAGTCAGATCCTGTAGGCCACCTGGCTTTCCTGGTCAGAAACCAGCAGTGCGGATCTGGCCTTTGAGAACCCCCAAGGGCAGATAGGCCTCATGTCCAGGCCCGGGGCCCCTCAGCAGGGCCGCCTTAGGGACAACACCCATCCATCCACTATCTCTCCTTCCTCGCAGCTTTCTCAGGCGCTGGTTCGCTCCTTCAGCTCCACCGCGCGGAACCGGTTGGAGAACAGAGTAGCAGAGAAACAGAAGCTCTTCCAGGTGGGCAGGGGGAGGGGAGGACGCCCGGGCTTAGTTCCCGCCGAGTGGGGGTAGGGATGTGGAAGATCTGGCCTCCCCATTTTTCATCCCTGCCCCTTTGCAGGCAGACAATGACCTCCCAGTGCATCTGAAGGGAGGAGCAACTGACAGCCTCCTGTACCGACTGACCATGGGGCTCTGTCTCGGGGGTGAGTGAGGGGCTGGTTGCCAGGCCAGCGGGGATCTCCTTAGTGGGGCGGATGGAGGGGGCAGCCGAGGGCCTGGGCCTGGGCTTGGTTTCTGAGGAGAAAGTCTTCAAGTGTTCCCTGGAACTAAGCTAGCAAGGATCTGAAGGACAGACTGGAATTGGGGGAAAAGCTACCAGTCGGGTATGGGTCAACACCAGAGGGTTCCCCATTTGAGATGGGGTTTGGGAGGGTAACAGGAGTCAGAACAGACACTAGGATTCAGGCTGGTACCAGAGGGATCCTGGGTAGGAAGCTTCAAGCCTAAAATGGGGTTCACAGAAGGGATTAGGAATCTAATTCTGTATCCCCCCCATTCTCTCCCTCCCTAGGCACCATCTACAGCCTGTACTTCCTAGGCTGGGCCTCCTTCCCCCACAAGAAATGAGACTAAGGAGCCTGGAGGACCTGGGAGTCTTAGGCAAACAATAAACACACTAACTTCTTGGGAACCTACCCTAGCTCTGGGCTCACTCTCCTCTATGTGTAAGTGTGTTTCCCCAAACCCATCCCCCCACCAACAAAACTGTCTGCCATGTGGACAGCCCCACACCTGAGTCCTTCATCCTGGATTCTGGCTACTCCAGTGATGCTGTTGCCTCTCAACCCTCTTACAGAGGCTAGGAGCCCCAAGTCACAACAACCCTGGTAGCCTTTTCAGGGTATCTAGTGGATAGTGGTGGCCTAGGGGTTAGTAGGCTGTGCTGCCAACCGAGAGGCACCACAGTTTGAATCCACTAGTCACTCATGAGAGAAAGATGGACAAGTATCCTCCAATGAGATGAAAACCTCTGAAAAAGGAAGGTCAGCTATGAGTTATGAGTCAGATCTAACTCAAAGGTACACAACAACAGTGGGTCCCTGCAAGGCAGACCCTCCCATTACACAGGCTCAAGGGTGGGAAGATGCAGGGCCGACTCAAGGATGGCTAAGAGGCACAGATATAATCTTGAGGACAGAGAAAGCAGTGGCACTGAGCCCAGGCTCTGGGAGCAGAAGCAATAATTACCTGGGATTCTCTATCCTCGTCTCAGCACCCCACTTCCTGTGAGTGATCTCAGCAAGATTGAAGTTATAGCTCTACTGGAATTCAGTATGAGAAAAACAAACCAGAGAGAAAGGAAGACATGCAGATCGAACCCTGAAGACAGACATGGAGGCAAATTATCCCACTCCACCCAGGACCCAGACTCCTTCTGCTCCAGCCTGATCTGAAACCACCCTAATCCTTCAGGAGGCACAGATGATAGAAAGCAGTTGGCATTCCTTTATTTCCTCATTGGCCTGGATGGCTGAGAATAGAATACAGATAAAGGCACTGGGGCACATGGGACTCGAACAGCAAAGCTGTAAGAGGAGGAGCTGCCTGGAGTGGGGGTGGGAGGTGTAACTATGAATGAGTGGGACAGTGTGGAAAGATGGGGATCCTCCCAGAACTGAGAAAAGGGCCCTTCGGGTGTGGAAGCAACACTAGAATTGGGCTTGGCCGAGGCTGCATGGGAGGGCTATGGAGTGTGAGATGGGTGTGCTGGGAGACGGAGTGACTTAAGAAGTGTCTGAAAACCAGGGGTATGAAAACTTGGCCATGGCAGGTCACTCAGGTTGAGGCATGCCCTGACTATTGGCTGAGAAGCTGGTGCTCAGGGCTGGGAGCATGAAGAGGCCTGTGGGTCATAGAACCCATGAAGACATGGCTGCAGATGGCATCAGCCCTGGGAGTCCAGGGGTCCAAGGTGACTCCAATGGCAAGGCAGTGAGGGGAAGGTCTGGGGTTCTCATTCAGGAATACATAGTCAGCTGCAGCCACTGAGGAAGAAGAAACACAGAGTGAAAGGCAAAGCACCCAGAAGGCCGACCCCCCTGCCCTGCTTTTACCCAGAGGCTAATGGGAAAACTCGAGGGAAGGGGGCCAGGCTTAGAGTTCAGGCATAGGGCTGATGGAGGGACTGACTGCTTGCTAGCCACTCACACTGCAAGATAAGGGTCCTTACCTCCTGGATGTTCACCTGGATTTGTCCAGTGCCGTCTTTGTCAAGTGATTTGAAGGCACCTGGAAAGGGGGTGAGAGGGCAAGAAACTAGCTTTTAGGATAATCACTCACACACTCATTACTACTGAGTCATAGCTGACCTTCCAGAAGGGCTTTCAGAGGCTTTAAATCACACAGGAGGAGACTGCCCATCTTTCTGCCAAGGATCAGCTGGTGGATTCAAACCATCTGCCTTTGAATTGGCAGTGCAACTCCTTACCCACTAAGTCACCAGAACTCCCTGTTAGGATAATATGCCAATATATGGGATGAAATATTAAAAAGCAGAGTAAAACTGCTCCTACAAGATTTGCAAGGCTATAAATCTTTATGGACACAGACTGCTACATTTTTCTCCCGAGAGGGTTGTTGTGTATGGTCAAGTTAGAGACAACCCATAGCAGTCTTCAGAGGCAGTTAATTGCACGGGAGAAGATTGCTCATCTTTCTCCCATGGAGCAACTGGTGGATTTGGGTTGGTAGGACAACTACGTACCACTAAACCACCCGAGCTCCCAGTAGCAAGCTCCCACCCCGACTCTGGTTAGCAGCTGAGTGCTTTCCCCACTTCATCTCACATACTCAACCCTTTTCTGCTTCCCTCACTCTTAAAACAGTCCCTACTGCCCTTCCCAGCCCCAGGGCTAACTCCTGGCTTCCTTCTCTGAGCTCATACATTCTTCACCACTACCTGGCCCTTGAATTTTCTTCTGTCTCAGACCCACAGGTCTTAAAGCTGGTTAGACATTTCCCTGTAGATTTCCCCAAGGGACTTTATACCCACCATACTTCAAGCCTTCCTCTAAACTTGTTTTCTTCTCTCACATTCCCTCAGAGTTACCCTTACCCCTTGATTTCCCCTCTCTGAGACAGGCTTCTGAGCCTGTCTTCCCACTGGCCTGCTTGTTCCCTGGGCTCTCAAGAGGTCAAGATAATTTTCCTAAAACCAAACTGTCCCTCCTTTGTCTAGAACCCACCTTGGCTCTGTGAACACTACATTGTTGCTGACCCACTGTGGAGCCTTGAATTTGACATTCACAGTCCTAGACAGCTCTCACCTTTCTCTCTTCTCAGCTCAAATTCTGGATTTGCCACTTCCTAGCTGAGTGACTGTGAGGGATCAGTTTTCCTCCTTGAACAGCTTCTTCTTCCACAAAACAGGGCCATTACTTCATACTTCTTGAGAATGTCTTAAGGATTCAGTGCATTGATGCTCATAAAAACTCTCAGCATCTGGCCTCAGCTGACCCCTGTCTCCCCATCTCACCCACTGTCAGCACTCATCTCTTTGAACTCCTAGGAGTCCAACAAAAGTACCTAGACTTTTGCATGGATTCTGCCCTCTGACTAGAATGTCTCACATAGCTCCCATCAATCTGCAGTGAACTTACCCTGTTAAAACACTGACCACTCAGACCTGTCCTTCCAGTCCCCTGTCCCCATTATCATACTGGATGTCACTCTCTGGTGATTTGTCTCTCCTCCACTGGGCTGGGAGCTCCATGGGGGCAGAAACTGATGCTGGCTGTCTTGGTCATTGCTATGCTTGGATCAGGGCCCATCTCAGGGTGAGGCCTAGGGAAGACCTGGGCCATAAGAAGTTGAGCCAACCCCACCTGGGAAGAGCAGGGGCACTGACTCACGGAACATGGCATCCAGCCTGACCAGGCAGCTGATGAAGTTGTCAAAATCCATGTTCCCTCCCTCGTCCGAATAGCGCCGGATGATCATATTGTAAAGATGCTGATTCAGATGGAAGCCTAAGAACAATTTATTCTTCAGATGTGGGTGCCACAGGGCCCACCTATTCCCATTCTCCAGATCCAGGCTCAGACCAGTTCAGTGGGAGCTGTTTCCCCAATCCCACTGCCATCCCACCATGTCCCTGACAGCCATACCTGCTGCCTCAAAAGCCCCTGGGAGTTCTCTGCTGGAGATGGTCCCTGAGTGGTCAACATCAAACCGTTTGTATATGGCCTGGGGTAGGGGGGTGTAGAGATGTCAGGAATCAGTTGTGTATCAGTGGCATAACCTCACTATGGCTTGGGGGCTGGGAACTCTAGAAAGTGCCACATACCTGCCACTTTTTTATGTTGTTCCATAGGTACTTGAATTCCTCAAAGCCCAGCTTGCCTGTGGTGTCGCTCTGGTTGGAGGGTGTTAAGAACAATGTGATAACAAAAGAACAATCTGTACAGCAAAGGGCACATCGAGCAACAAAACTGAGAACTGAGAATCTAGAATCCTCCTATGGTCAACCGATACTTGACAAAAAAATCTAAAATACACTGTTGTTGTTATATGCCATCAAGTCACCTGTGACTGACTCATAGTGACCCTATGTACAACAGCCCCAAACCCTGCTCTATCCTGTGCCAATCTTATCGTCTCTGGCACACCCACCCCCATTACCCCAGTCACTGAATCAATCCATCTCGAGGGTCTTTCTTGCACTGTCACTCCACCCTCCCAAGCATGACGTCCCTCTCCAAGAACTGGTCCCTCCTTGCAATATGTCCAAACTATGTGAGAATCCTTGCCTGCAAGGAGCAGCCTGGTCTCACCCTCTCTAGGATGAACCTGTTTGTTCTCCTGGCAGTCCATGGTATATTCAATATTCTTCTCCAGCACCACAGCTCAAAGGCATCAATTCTCCTTCTATCATCCCTAGTCTTTATCTAGTTTTCTGATACATAGCAAATAATTAGTCTCCAGACTGACATCGTTGCTCTTCAGTACTTTGGAGAGGTCTCTGACAGTAGACTTTCCCATTGCAATTCATCTTCAAGTTTCCTGGCTGTTGGTGCCAAGAATGTTGATTGTGGAGCCAAGCAAACTGAAGCTTTAACAATCTCAATCTCCAAAATCCATTAAGTGAGAAAAAGACAGTCTCTTTAACAAGTAGTGTTGGCCCCCCCCAAAAAAAAGTGCTGGATACTCATTAGCAAAAAAATTACTCACACCATATACAAAAAAGAATTCAAAATTTATCAAAGACCTAGATGTAAAACCTAAAACTATAAAGAACATCAAAGAAAACATAAGGGCAAACTAAGGGGCCTTGATCTATGGCATAAATAGACCATCAACCCAAAATGGATAAACATCTAAAAAATAGAGGACTACTAGACCTTCTAAAAATTAAATTCTTTGGTGCACTGAAAGAATGCTCTAAAAGAGTTTTAAAAAAGAGAGAATCTAGAGATTAGGAAAACATTTTGGCAACAACATATCCAACAAAGGACTAATCTGAAAAATTTTCCAGAAAACACCACCACCTCTATATCATAAAGAGCAACCATTTTAAAAATGTACAGAAAACATAAAAAGATACTTCAGAGAGTCAACAAATACATATTCAAGATCATTAGCTACTGGAGAGATGCACATCAAAACAATAAGATAACCTCTCAGTCCAGAAGCAAAAGCAAAGATCAGTCGGACAGAAAAAAAAGTGGTAGGAATGTGGAGAGATTAACACTCTCATATACTGCTGTGTGACCATAAAAATGGGTGCAACCACTTTGGAAAACTTTTTTATAAAGTTGGAACTAGAATTACCATTTGATCCAGCAAATATACTACTATTAAGTAGTAGTATACTATTATTATATACAACTAAGTATATACCTGAGAGAAGTAAGTTATAAAGCAAATAGATAAATGCACACCCATATTCACTTCAACATTATTAATAACAGCAAAGAGATGGAAACATCTCTATTGTGTGTCTCCACCATTAATGAATGAATAAAGAAACTATGGTACAGAAACACAATGGAGTACTATGCAACACTAAAAAAACATGGACGAATTTGAGACAGATTGCATAACATGGATGAATCTGGAGGATATTACCCCTGGATTAAGTATATTAGTCAAAAAAAGACAAATATTGTGAGTCCACTATTATAAAAAGCTAAGAAAAGGTTTAAACAGCGAAACAGTCTGTGATGGTTACCAGGGATGGGAAGGAAGGAAGGAAAACTCATTAAGGACATACTAGACACGTTTTTAAAAAACAAAACTTGATGACTATACCCAAGTGCATGTACTACATGTACCACTGTGTTCATGATGATGGTAACAGCAAGACAGGCTGGGCTAAAACGTAAGATAGTCATGTCACCTTGGATGTGATTTTTATTTTATTTTTTTAATTTATTTATTATTAATTTTAATGAAAGTTTAGAGGCTTAGGATTTCCAGTCATTCAAATCACTCTTCTCCTTAAAAAGAAAAAATCCTTCATTGTTATGCAATCCCTTCCCCTAAGTTCACTCCACTATGCAGCCTTTACTCTGGACTCCTGTAATGACAAGAATATCCATTCATATATCCCTTTTAAACAGATCTCTCCCTCATTTGTTTCAATGCTATATACATCACTACTCTCCTCCTTTTCAGTCTTCCCTCAACCCTGATATCAGTCCCATTTTACAATAGTGGCCCTATGCAATATTTGTCCTTTTGTGACTGAGATATTTCAGTCAGCATAATGTCCTCCAGGGTCATCCATTTTGCATAATATTTCATAAGTTCCTTGTTTTCCAGTGCTGCATAGTATTTCATTGTGTGAATATACCAAATTTTCTCTAGCCATTCGTTTGTTGATGAGTGGTTTTTTATTTTTTGCTTATCCATTCATTCCTATATTTCTTTGTGCTTCTAATAATAATGGTTTGGGGGGAAAACCCAAAACAAACATAACCATAGGGAATTATATTGACCTATCAACAACAAATTGCTTCTAATAATAGGAGTTTTTGGGGGGAAACCCAAACCAACCATAACCATAGGGAATTATATATAACTGTCAACAACTTCCTCACCTGAGAAAAGTTGCCTAAGTTCAAAAGAGAATAAAATTCTTAATAGTAAGAAAGCTCCTTGACTTTATAATAGTCTTTAGGAGAAAGTAGTGGTAAATTAAATGTATATTTTTTGGATACATTTGGAAGCACGTAATGTAAAAACTCACCAAGGTGTGTACTTGAGGTTAGTATCCATAATACACTTCATTTGGGCGGGGTCGGGGGGGAGTGTCACAAATGATACATTCTCCACATTATAAATCGCCAAAAGTTTCTAAATGTTAAAAAATGTGAAAAAAGATTATTTTTGAGCTCTAGAGAAATAAGGGAACAGTAAGTACTTGTTAGGTTTGTAATAAAAAATGAAATAATAGCATCAAGCTCTTATTACATGACTCATGCAATATTATTCAAAATGGTTGACTCTGGAGAACATTATGCTGAGTGAAATATCCCAGTCACAAAAGGACAAATATTACATGATGCCACTGTTGTAGAATGGGACTGTCCTTGGGGTTGGGGAGAGACTGAGTAAGATGGGTTCAATAATGTATACTGCACTGAAACAGAGGAGGGAGAGAACCGTTTAAAAGAAAGATGTAACTGGGTATTTCTGTCATCACAGGAGACTAGAGCGAGGGCTGCATGGTGGAGGGGACCTGGGGGAGGGTTTGTAAAACAATGAAAGAATCTTTTCTTTTACTTTTCCATAATTTTTGGACTCATGTACTTATAACTTGTTAGTCAAATTTGTGTCTTCTAGGTTGCAACACCCCCATGATACATCTTGAAGGATATGTACATGTACAGCCAAGCACAATCAATAAGAGTGCATCTGAATTCCAAAATCAATCTCCATAATAGTCTATGTGTTTCCTACTGCCAAAGGGGCCCTTTAGAGTAGTGAGAGAAGATCTTCACCCTGAAACCCACAGCGTCCCTTTTCAGCAGGAAGTAGCTAAGAGAATACGCAGTCCCCTTTTCCTTATGACTCAGGGTGAAGTCTCTCTCAGGGAGGAGTGATAGGGAATGGCAAAGGATACACTGACAAAGAAGATTAATCAGAACTGGCTTTGACAAGCACTGTGGCATTTGGACAAGAACAAACTGGGAGGAGGGTAGAGAGAATAGTGCAACAATGAATGAGTGGAAGCCCAAAATCTCTGTAAATGTTTATGAAAATTAATAAAATATAATTATAGAAAAAAAAATAAGTTCTCAAGAAATAGTAAGAACAATAGCCAAGACTTACCAAGTATCAATACATGCCAAACTCAATAGCATCACTTTTCTCACTACATCCTTAATTCACCCACACTACATTCTTTAGTTGTTAAGGAAACAATTTCAGAGAGGAAAATTCTAAGTTCAGATAAAAATTAACAGAATTCTTATCATGCGCTGTATATTGTATTAAAATTTGACCAGGTATCTCCAAGTTAGTATCATTATTTTCAGCTCCAGTTTAGATAAGGAAATCCACGCTTAAAGGCTTAGTAGCTTTATTAATGGTTAGAGCTGGGATTATGTAACTCTATCCAATACGTGTGAGCACATGACATACATTTACCTGTGTGTAAGATCTTATGCTGAGTGTACTGGCCTCGTGTGCACACGTGCGTACTTATGAGCATAAGCCTCCATATTTGGTCATGTAGATGAGTATGTGTGTGCTTCTGGGAATAATATATGTGCATATGCATATCTATAGAAGTCATCTGCTTGGATTCTTGACTCTTAAAGACTTGAGCCCAAGATTTCTATTCTGCCACTTATTCTTTATAACTTTAGACAAATGTTGGCTTCTCTCTGAGGTACACAGACCAAGAATCAGTCATTCAAACAAAACAAGGGACTGGTGCTTAGTCTAAAATCAAGTAAGCTCTGTATCAAGCTTGTATCCTTTCTCCATACATACTTAATCTGTGTGCTAAGAAAATTATTTGTGAAGCTGGGTTATATGAACAATTGGCACTAGGATAGGAGGAAGACTCAGTAGCAGCCTATATTATGCAAGTGACATAATTATGGATTGCATTTCAACATCAAAAAATTCTTCACAACTGGATCAACAGGCAATATCAATAGATGGAGAAAGCATTCAAATTGCCAAGGATTTCATTTTACTTGGATCCACTCTAACACCCATGGTAGCAGCAGTCAAACAATCAAAAGACATATTGCACTGGGACAATCTGGTGCCAGGACCTCTTTAGAGTCCTAAGCAAGGACGTCAATTTAAAGACTAAGGTACACCTGACCCAAGCCATGTAACTTTCATTTATTTGTGGAAGTAGGACAATAAATAAGGAAGGCCAAAGAGGAAACCATACCTTTGAATTTCAACATTAGTAAAGAGTACTGAATATCTCAAGGACTGCCAAAAGAACAAACCAATTGGTCTTAGAGGAAGCACAAGCAGAGTGCTCCTTAGAGGTAGGAATGGTGGAGCTGCTTCTCACATGTTTTGGGAATGCTGTCAGGAGGAACTAATCCTTGGCAGAAGACATCATGCTGGGCAAAACAGAGGGTCAGCAAAAGACAGCAAAAGTCTCAACAACATGGGTTTACACAGTGACGGCATTAATAGGCTTGAACATAGCAAGATCATGAGGATGGTTCAGGGCAAGGAAAGGTTTTAGTCTGTTGTTCACAGGGGGCATTAAGAGTTATAGTCAATATGACAGTACCAAACAATGTCAGTGAATGTACATGCCCAGCTATGACAGCTGATGCTTTTTTGTCGTCATGCCCACAGATGATGAACACATGCTCATATCTGTGGACATAAACTGTGCCTTTGCTGTTCCAATATCACTCTCCAAAACCCCTGCTCTTTACCACCCCTAAGGATACATCCATCACAGCCACCATGCTTCGACAAGTGTCAATGCCAAAACCATCTGTCTTCAGATCAGGATCTGTGGGGGGCAGGGTGAAGTTCAGAGTCAAAGATCACAATTACCTAGACCCTGTGACCAGCCCTGCCTTAGGCTTTGGCTCTGGCATCTGGTCACTCACGTCGAGTCACAATTTTGTTGAGAATGTTCATGAGTTCTGTGGCGCTGACTTCCATGTCCTGAAAAAAAAATCAGAGGTTACTAAAACTTGAGGGAGGATCAGGTCATGAAGAAGCATGGAAACCTGGAAATCGCCGTGTTCGTGTGTGTGTGTGCGTGTCTGTGCATGGCCAGAGGGCAGCTCAAGGGAAACCATGGAAGGTTAGGAAAGAGGAAGACGGTGCTTGGGCAAGGGGCTACTTACATCGCCAGCCAACTGGGCAAATAGTTTTCGGAACTGCCGCACTTCCTCACTCTCATTTGCCTCAATGTTGGAGAAATGGGTACGTGGGGGCTGTGGAAGAAGGAAATCTCAGAACAAGTGGAGGGATAGGTGCCCAGGCCAGGGCAGATTCCTACGAGTGAAGAAGTCAGAGGGGATGGCTGGCAAGGTGACCAAAGGAAGTGGAGATCAATACTGGGGTAGGGGAGGTATGTGTTATAGGGTCGGCCATATCGGGAGAGGGTTTTTTTTTAAGAGGGAAGGGTAGTGTCTCTCCATCTTTAGAGATAATGACGGGCTGGAAAACTCAGGAGGGAAATGGGATCTCCAGTTGTAGGAATAGCTCACCGGGGGCTCCGGGTTGTACTGAGCAGCCGCTTCGCTGAAGAGAAACACGCAGGAGTGAGTGCCCGGGGGTGGGGTTTCCAACGGGCAGTGCCAGCAGAACCGCCAGCCCAGCCCCCACAGCCCAACGCCCCCCAAACTCAGCTCACTTCCCGGTTTTCTTCGCCCACGTTTTCTGTCCTGTGCTTCTTCGGTCCCTTTCTTTGCTGCTATGGCCGCCCTCCTTTTTCTCCATCAGGTCGACCCCAACGAGAAGGAACCCAAAGTCCACCCTCAACAGGAGACTCCACTCCCCACCTCTCAATGGCAGATTCCAGAATCACCTCTGGACCCACCCAGACTCAACAGACCCTGCCCCTTTAAGGGCCCTCTTCAGAAGCTCCGCCTCCATCAAACCAGCAAGACTAGTAACTCTATCTCCCGCTTTCCTTAATCCCTGTGCTCTCAACAGCCGGCCCCCAGGTCCATTAAGTCCGGGTCACAGCACATCGACTACCCACCAGCCAGCCCTGCCTCTACAAAGTCCATTTCCTCTACTTAAAATGAATCCTCTCTCCCCATAGGGAGATGATGGTAAGAAGCTGAGCCACAATCCCAAAGGCCTGCGGTTTGAATCCACCAGCTGCTCCATGGGAGAAGATTGAACAATCTCCTTCTGTGCATTTTAATGCCTCTGAAAACTGGAGCTATGGGTGGTTTCCAATTGGATGACACCACAACATACCTAGCCAGGCTACGCCCATGTCGAACACCACGCCCGCGTAATGACACACACCCAGTACTGACTCCGCCCCCTCAAGATTTGTGTTGTGTTTGGCCCACACAGGACATGACCAATCTCATTAAGTCCCAGCCCCACTGCGGCCACATCCTTGTTGATTGGCACAGCTAGGCCACGCCCACGTCAGGCCCGCCCCAGTGAACCACCAACACCCTCATCGGGCCCCGCCCCCGACCCAGCCCAGCTAACATTCCAGACCCGAGTTCAAGT